CAGCCCACACACTGCCTTGCTAGAGAAAGAAAATATGCCATGCAGATGGACAATAAAGCACAAGTAGTTTACTTTTCGTAGTTCAGAACAACATATGTACAATGTGGTCAGTTTCATCAACTCCCATAATGTCCTGCATAGCTCAGGCCTAAAAAATGTAACAGTAACCAGTCCCAGACTGAGCCAGCTCCCCACACGAAGCTCAACCAATCAGTTTCATGCATCTTATTTTATAGTTGACACGCACACACTGATTCCTTGCATGCTCTGACATAATTAATTGTGTGATTTTTGTGTGTGTGTCAGGAGCGACTTGAGAAACTGCAAGTCACTTCTGATGTGAGAGAATTGGCTGTCTGCAAGTATGTTGCCCAGGGGACACCCGGATGTTTGGGGTTTTTTTTAATGTTTTACCATCCTTGTGGGAGGCTTCTCTCATGTCCCAACATGGGGAGCTAGACCTGACAGAGGGAGCTCATTCGCACTGTCCCCGGATTCAAACCCCTGTGTTGGTCATCAGTCCTGTCGGCACCCATTGCATCACCGGGGGCTCCAATTGTGTGATGTGTCTGTACTTTTTCAGAAATTAAATCAAGGAACTTTTGTTACAATTGCACAATGCGGTGCTAACCAGCATGGAGTGTAAATATTTTTTAAAAGCACAATGCAAATTAAGGCTGTTGATCTTATGCAGATGGTATTATACTGTGACAGACAGGTAAGGCTAAATATTAGTTTCATATTCCTACCACATTCTTTGGAATAACCATTTTAATACTGGATATAAAACATTGGTTACGTTCTGAATTAATGCAATAATGTGGGGAAACTGAGAAGAGCAGAGTTTTAGCTATTCACTATATGATGAGTCATTGGGGAGCACTGTGCCAATTATCAAAAGCTTGCTAAATGGAACTATATCCCCAAAGAGACTACAATGACATTATGAACTGTTAGGTCATGAGCTTGAAAGTGTGTAGATCATAATAAAGTTCAACCAATTAAAAATAAACCCAGAGTCAGAGATATGTAGAACAATGAAAAGTAACTATACACATGGTTTTATGCAGCCATCTGTCAAGCAAATTAATGTAACTTAAAAAACAACACTTTTTAAAACATCCAAATCAGATTTTTAAGTCTGCCTGCTGGAAATTCATGATGGATTTCAATAGTCAGGATGCTGCTACAGAGAAAGCCCTCGCACTTTTATTTACCCTCCTGTCTACTTTTACAGACTTGTGGGACATGCAGTAGGACCACCTGTGATCACCTTAGATTTTTGCTATGCTCCTATGGGAGAAAGGTGGTTGCTTTGGTTTACCAAGTATTTTGTTTTGCCAAATTTCATTAAATATTGGTAATTACTTGGCTATTCAGAAGTTATTTCCCTTGAATACCTTTTCTTCGTCGTGCTTTTTTGTAACTGCTTCAGCTGATATATCAGTTGAATATAAAAATTATTGAAAGGTTCTTTTTTTTTTTTTGGTTGTGTCAGGAGCATCCTGTTGTGAGAGAATTGGCCGTCTGCAAGGACGTTGCCCAGGGGACGCCCGGATGATTTTGATGTTTTATCATCCTTGTGGGAGGCTTCTCTCATGTCCCCGCATGAGGAGCTGGAGCTGATAGAGGGAGTTCATCCACCTCTGCCCGGATTCGAACTTGCGACCTCTCGGTCTTCAGTCCTGCCGGCACAGGGCTTTAACCCACTGCGCCACCGGGGGCTCCTATTGAAAGGTTCTAAAAACATCAGATAATTGGAAGCTAAGCAAGGTTAGCCCTGGTTAGATGAGGAATACCAAGTGCTTTAGGCCATATTTCAAAGTAAACTCCCTAAGTATTCCATGCCTAAGAAAACCCTATGAAATTCTTTGGTTGCCATAAGTTGACCAGTAACTTGAAAGCACATCCATAAGTTTTATGAAGTTGTAGAACAGTTTTCTGATGCACCTTTAGCCTGATTGGCAGTTAGGAGAAATTGTAACACAGATCATGCTTCTTTTACTTCCTCTCGTTTCACCTGTTTGTATTAAGTTTGAGAGAGCTGTTTATGTGTCAGCGTGGTCTGAGATGTTGCATATTTACTGGATGAAAGGATGATGCAGACTAGTAATTCCCAATCTCTTTGGCCTTCAGCTCCCACAGTTCCTAACAGCTGGCAAGCTTGCTGGGATTTCTGGGAGTTGAAGTCCAAAACGCCTGGAGGCCCAAAGGTAGGGAACCACTGATGTAGACAAAAAGAAATGCCCAGAAGTTAACAAGCAGCATTCCTTGCTTGACCTTCATCTGCAACTTCTAAATAATTTTAGAATAGGCCCTCGGGTTGCAACTTCAATTCTTAATTATTTTTTGAAATTTGAGATGTGTTGCGAGAATATCCTGCAGGAAAAACTGGCAGCCACCATGTAAACAGGCTGTTTATTTGTGAAAAAGATAAACCCAAGATCAGATTGCCCGGTTATCTCTCCAGGAACTGGGGAAAAGGATTGTTATCACTTAGTGGGCAGTGGGAATGCCACCACAAGGAAACCAGCACAGCTAGAGAGGACAATGCAAGCCCATGAGCTCAGACTAAATGATAAAAATCTCACAAAAAGTTTCAACAGATTGGAAGAGAACAAGCGAGAACGAAGAGCATGCAGACGAATGAATGAGATTAGGTTGGGAGCTAGATGTAATCTGGGACACAGAGGGGATTAAAGAGGCTTGCTTTGGTCCTGTTCTATAAGTATCAGGCTTTCAGTGATATGGGGCAAAGAGTCACAGCCTTCCTAGTCTTGGGTTTCTTTGGAATGAGTTTGTCTGAAATTTATTCATAGAGGCCTTCAACAATTTGTAAAGCTTGTCTTTAAAGCAATGTGTATGGCTCAACCTGTGGAGTTTTGATAGCTTGCATTATGTATTTTATGCATTTTTAGTTAGCCAAATAAAGGGATCACTGTTTGTGGAATTTGGATGTTATTGTATTTCTCTGTATGACCAACATGTGACAGTCCCCAGTATTATTTGTAACAGATGATACATTTGGTCACTGGGATGTCTTGTGAAATAAGTAGAACTTGAAGGATTTAATCCCTTTCACTCTGACATACCTACTAGAGCAGGCATTAGCAAACTCTCCTATATATGTTGCCTTTATATATTTTTACAGTGAGAGGAAAAGATTTGTTACATTCCTCTAACTTTTACCCTCGATTTATCCATGGTCAAAGCAAAATCTGTAATTTGTTCCTCGACTTGAACATGAGATCGACTTGCACACGAGAATATATATGGTAATCAGTGTTTAAGTCTATGGAATATTTCACTCATTAAGCCAATATGTGTTTAAGCATGTCTGTTCCTGTAATGTTTGAAGAAAATATCTCGTCATCAGTATAAGGAATGAGAGCAGACGTATCTAATTCTAGACATCACATCCCTTGAGGAAGAGTCTGGCTTCATTGAGACAATATGAAAACGTGGTTTGTGTTAACAGTAGTTAGGAATGTGCACACTGGTTTGAGATTCTAGGCACACAATAAGTAAATCATGGCTTTGAACATCTGGTCTACATTCATTTCCTACTTTTTCATCACTGAACTTGAGAGTAGTATCATATTTGCAGCGAAGTAGAAGCTCTTAAAGAATAACAGCTTCTGCTTTATGTGATCAACAAATGTAATAGAACTATCAGAGTAATTCTTGGATGGATATTGCACTCTTAATTTGATCTGAATTCGTTTGTTGTTGTTTGCCTTCAAGTCATTTCTGACTTATGGAAATCTCAAGGGATTTTCATGGCAGAATTTGTTCCCTTCCTCTGAGTCTGAGAGTGTGTGACTTACCCAAAGTCAACCAGTAGGTTTCCATGGATGAGTGAGGATTTGAAGCCTGGATTCCCAGTGTCTTAGTACAACACTTACCATATTGGCTGTACATCTCATTGGCACTCATTCGGTGCTTCGAGATCCAAATCATAGGTATTATGAGCTTTGAACCTTGAGTCCACCACTAAAAACCACTATGTGGTGCTAAACATTTAACATGAAAAGGAAGAATGGCTACAGTCAAAATCGGATTTGGCTGTCATTGTCATATTAATAGATTAAAATCACATTACATATTCATTGTAGGTATTATCTTGTGAATTATACTTCTGAAAAATACTATTTCATGTTGCCTTCTAATAGGCATAATAGTTTCTTCAGTATTTCCTTAGGCATGGTTATTACATTTTAATAAATTGAATGGTCTGGGAGTGAACACCTGATTCTTTGGTGGTTGTGGATCTCATCATTTTCTTGTTTCAGATATTACTGCGGGTCAGGCCTCATTGTGGAAGCTGGGAAAATGATCAGTTGTCTTGCTTGGTGTATTTGTTCTGTCACAGCTATTTTCGGCAGCTGGTTGCTGAGTCTATATTTAGATTCCCACGCAGTCTATGGCAGCCTACTTCTATCATCTGCAAGGAAGACCTCTGTGTATCCTGTTGAATATAGGTTACAGCTGAAACGGGGCTTCCTTGTTTAATTTATCAAGCAGCAGCTGAGCTGTAGATTTATTTGCCTGCCTCTGATCTTAACATCCACCTGGATTGTTAAAAGTAAATTGGCAGAGAATTTTAAAAACACTTTTTTTGGGGGGGGGGGGGATACTTTGTAAGATAATAAGAACTTCTCTTTTTCTCCTTTTCCATTTATCTACGTGCCATTTGAATGTTCTGCTGTCTTCTTCCTTTTTTTTCTTAAACAGCCCAAGGCCTTCTGCTTGCCAATTTCATGCCAGGTTGACCATAACCAGCATGGTTAGAGTTAGTGGATTATCAATATGGTCAGTTTATTGTGGAAGTGGCTTGTTCTCTGGCGAGATATTTAAAAGCATCCTTCATAAAATCTTGTGGTTATGTCTTAAGTATCCTGTTATCAGGCAGTAAGACACTGTGTGTGTGTGTAGATGGAGAATGTTTGTCTTATAAGAGAAATTTCACCAATCCCTTGTCTTCCTTCTCTTCTTTCTAGGATGCGTCAGGATGAAACGCCACAGGCATCTAAGCAGCAGTGACAGTTCAGACAATGAAAGTAAGTGGTGCTTATAGCCTTCCTTTGATCTGTCATCCTTCCTGTGGTTTTCTCCTTTGGTTTGTGGGCAAACCGTAACACCTCTTTTTTTACTGCTGAAGAAAAATGCATTTCTTGTTCCGTTTGATTTCCTTTTTGCTCATTGTGGTGTTTGGTGTTAATAAAGGGAGAAAAAAAATAAAACAAAGCAAAAACGTAATATTTGAAAGAAGAATATTCAGTGTACATTTTTAATTATTTCTCTTTAGAATTTAAAAGCTGATTCAAGAGACATTGTGTGCACTCAAGAATATATCCTGAGGCTTTGAGATGTGGAATTTTTCGGTTGTGGTTTGTGAAAAAGTTTTCAGAACCAGGGATGAATGCCTAATAAAACACTTCATATCAATCAAAGCCAAGTATAAAAAGGGTACACCTTCAGACCCCCAGTTCTCATTTTGAAGTACTACTTATATTTAAAATTTGTCCAAACAGATAGCCATGTCACTCTGCTTTAGCAGAAATAAGAGAGTGCTGTGTCACCATCAGGACTAACGGTTTTTATAATGTGAACCTTAATGTCCACTGTGTCTTTTAGGTTCCATAACACATTTTAGTCAAATGAGCCTACAGCTCTAATTCACAATAAAGCTTCTAATTGTGGTGACGCATGTCCTAAAACATCATTATCCATCAATGCCATCTAAATATTTTGGGCGGCAGTTGCATGAGTTCCAGTCAGTGTGGCCACTGATCAGTGATGGGACTTGTATAATTCATTACATTTGAGAAATCAGTAGGTTGAGGAAGCATACTCTAAAGTCGCCATGTGCCTGCAAGAGATGACTTTTCTAGCTGGGAAACCATCTCTGAGCCCCTTTCCCCATCATGTTTAAATGCTATTCCAGAGTTGCTTAATTTCAGCAGTCTGAGATCCAGCTAAGAGCATGGAAAAGCAGCCTGAGAGGAGGAGGAAGCCAAACTCCTTCACATCAGTAGCACTATGTAGACCTTGTGGTGAAAGAATCACCACCCTCCTTGGCCATTGACTCTTGTGTGCTTACCACTGATTTCTGTTTCTCTATCTAAGGTAAAAGAGAGGGCTGTTGAGAGAGTTCGGGAGTCCTGTCTCTGTCTCCCTCCTTGATGGGATTTGAGAGAAGTCTTGGAAGGGGCTTCTCCTGATAGCCATTTATGGAGTGCCTAATAAGCAAAGAATTATAGTGGACACATGCATTGATGGTTATTATTTTGGAAATAATGTGAAAGCCACATTTTGATTTGTACTTGGGATCCAGTAGCATTTTAAACACTATATTACAAAAATGTTAGGAAGGCACTTTTTAAAATCATGTTTTAATTTTTTTTTATATTGTTTATATTATCTTTTTTGGAGTGAAAGTAAGAGTAAGGGGGACTTGTGGTCAGATTGTACCCTCTCAATCTTCTGGACTTCCTCTAATGTCTACAACCTTCCATGTGATCTCATAATTTGTTGATTTCTTAGCCTTCTACTTCTAGTCCAGTGTCTCTCTTTCAACTGAATTGGTGGTGATAAGAGCATGAAATTCAAGTAATCTGTTACTTGTGATCCCATTCTTCTGGCTTTGATCCTACCAATGGTGGATTTGTGAATCCAGAACAGAACATCTCCAAAAATAAATTTGGCCCTCAGGCAAAAAGGAATTCCTTATCTATATAAATAAAAATGTAATGTCCATTTGTGGGATTAACATAACTCAAAAACCACTGGACGAATTGACACAAAATTTGGACACAAAACACCTATCAGGCCAATGAGTGACCATCACTCATAAAAACACTGAAAAACACAGCAAAGGGCACTTAAAAAGCCAAAAAACAAAAATTACATTACAACGCATGAACAAAACCACACACATATATATGCAAACACACATATATACACACACACATATACACACACAAAACACATATGCACAGACTAGGACACAGCAATGCGTGGCAGGGGACATCTAGTCATACATATAAATGGTTCTGTTGCCCTGGATCTAATTGACATTCTGAACTAGATTACACTCATTGAACCAGTTGTTGAATAGTAAGTGAACATGTAAATTTAACTGATTCAGTGGGCTTTGTTTAATTGGAACTAGTAACTGCATTCAGGTCATTGAATTATTTCTTTTATCCTAAAATATCATGATGCTGTAAAATGGCCATAAAGGATGAAATATATCATAAGATAACCAATAAAATCATAAAACATAAAGCATAAACGCAGTAGAGTAAATAAAACCAGTATGGTACTATAAAATATGTAAGCAAATAAATGAGCTTTAACTTGGCACTGAATTAGCATGTGTTTATAGCCAGAATTGCAGTAGCTTGTAGAGAATTGAACTGTCAAAGCCATTTCTGAGTATTCCTTGCCTAAGGGAAACCCTATGAAATTCATATGTTGATAGGCAATGTGAAGGCATACACATATGAACAGATAGGACTCTTGCAGCTAGCAGCTTACAGATTTAAGTTGTTGATTGGCCATTGCTTTTTTTCTATTAGAATGAAAAGAAACCTTTATGTGCCGTTTAACTTGGGATACTGACTCTGTTCAACCTTTTCATTCAGGCAGCCTTTTAAAGATGAAGGTTTTTAAGGTCAAGTCAGGAAGTGCTGTGGTTTTAACTTGAATATGCGTTGAATGGTTTCTAACAGTACATTTTTAATACTTTTTATATTCTGTTTTAATGTTTGTACATTTGTATATTTTAAATTGTGTACTAATGCTTTTATGCTAAACTGCTTTGAGTCCCCTTCAGGAGAGATAAATTATAACAACAACAACTTTGAATCCATACGTATATTCAAATCATAAGTGACTTAAGATAGGTCAAAGTCAACAATGTCTATAATTCAGGGAAGCTCTTGAAAAGTCTGTGTTGTGGGAAGCTTTTGATTCTTTCCACCTTTTTGTTTCTGTTCATACAGGTCCTTCCACGTCTTTCTCATTTTGTTCTAAGTACAGGACCAAATCAAAAACTCCAGCAAATGAACAAAAGAAACCTGCTGAGGTAAGAATGGTTTTTCTCAAGTTCTAGAGTTACATGTTTACTGTGATCATTGTTTACCAACATATCTGCCTTCTGCTTTTTTTTTTACTTTTAAGTGCTCAATACATCTTCATTTTTTAATGAGACGTAAAGTGGACAAAACCATAATCATTTGTAGTCTTATGTATTATTTTTAAAGTTATTTTTTGTTTATTTATTAATTAATCTATGTTTTTATTGAATTTAAATAAATAAATGGGTCTCATGGGGTGGGATTCAAGGCAGCACACTTTATGTTGTCATTCAGATCCCTTTTATTTATTTAAACCATTTTATGCCGCTGTCCCTCACTCAAAATGGATATAGAAAAAACTCCAGAAGAAAAAAAGGAAGTTAGGGAGAAAACAGAGTAGCTTCCAAATTTAAGGAAAATGCATTATATAGTCCACTGATTTCACTGTACCTTTTTTCATATACACTTTGGAATGTAATCCAGAGAAATCATTAACAAATGACTAACCAAATGTAAGAGCCAAGTATGTACAGTTAAGAGTTCTAATCTCATTGATCTCATTAGATGATTTTTTTCCTGTTTGTGATTGTTTTAAATGTGAATATTTTTTATTCTGGCCATTTTAATTTGGAGCTGTTGTATTTCAAGATTATGGATTATGCACTAGCTTCCATTTCTAGAGAATCTCAAGTTTCTGGTCACCTTACGGAGAATTAGTCTTGTCCCTGAGCCTTTTGTCTGTTCCAATCCCATTATCTAATCCCCGCATTTCTCAGTTGGGTGAAAAGTCTGCACATGTTCACTTGGGTTGTTTTTTTAAAATAAGGAACCATGATAAACAATGTTCTCAGTTATGCTTAGGATTATGCCCTCATTCAAAGCGCAGGCACTTCCTGCAGACCCAGCCAAGAGTATTTCCAGGCCCCAAAGGCCCTGAATTCTTGACCTTTGGGCAAGCTGGATAGGGGTTCTGGGAGTTGGAGTCCTAAACACCTGGAGGACCATAGCTTGAGCAGGCTTGGCTTAAATCAAGGGTCGAGGGAGTTCTGGAGCCTTCCAAATAGCAGACAAATCCAGCATTGAAAATAATGAAAATAATGTGGTATAGTGATAAGTTCCAAAGGGTTCATCAATTCCCACTCATACTTCAAATAACATCTATGTGGGTGATTCTGTGGTACTTGATATGGAATAACATATTGTTTCATATTGAGATGAAAATACCAAACTGGATAGTAGGTGAGATGTGTCAGGTATTTTTGTCTACTGGAAGGGTTGCCAAGCCACAAGCCAGCTATGCCCCGGAATCCCCTGAGCCAGTGGTTTCCAACCTGTGGTCCGTGGACCACCAGTGGTCTGCAAAAACAAAAATATGCTCCTTGGCCTCACCATTACTACACGATTGCCTTGAAATCACACAGCAACAAGATCAACTGGTCTTGCGAAACCCTCTAATAGTGCCGAGGCAACGGAGAGGTCAGGAGGGGAGAGACTGATTACCCATAAAAGATTCCTACTACCACCTCAGCTCTTGTTTATTAAATATGGTTTTCTGTGGGTGAGCTGATGGCAACTACAGGATGGCATATGTTCTGTATCAGAAACTAGAGCTTATGTGGTCTATCCAATGCAATTTTCTGAATCAGCACCCCAAGTAACCAAACTGAATCTAAAGTTGACTGAAAACTGATTTGTAACCCTGTTGGTACTTACATTGGAGAGTGGTCCCTGGTCTAAGTGGTTCCTAGTTAAGTGGTCCCTGGTCAAAATAAAGTTGGGAACCACTACCCTGAGCGATGCAGGAAATTCACTGTGTAAGAAAGAGTTCACACACAGATGTTCTTTCACTGCTGTATGCATGATGGCTTTATCTTCTGTTGCTTCAGAAGATATATACAAAACTATATACACAATAATACAGTCTCTCTCTCTATCTCATCTTCTCTGTCCTCTATCCACTCTCCACAGCTCTAATATCAGCCTCACCCAGAGCACAAAAATGGAGGCACCAGCTCCTACACCCTCCCCCATGAGTCACTAGCAGTTTTATGTGACTGCTCATCTACAGAGTGTCTGAGGCTTAGACATGAGTGATTGTATTTTGCCGTGTGCTCAGACCTAAAGGCCTCAGTACTTTTATCTATGCCAGTTAATTCAAAACTGACAAAATGCTCTTACGCTTTTTGTGCATTTTGTTTTTGTTTTAAAACAGCAGCCAGAGGAAGTGACTGGGATCATTTAATATGTGCATGTACCTACTGAATGCCTGATGTGTTTAGGATTAACATTGCAGACAGATGGAAGCCAGATGACAGTAGAATACACATGATGAATAGGTGTCATATTTGCCTTTAAGCAGTATTCATTGGGACCACTCTTTCAATCTGAACTGGTTTCATTGAAATCTCTGCGTTCCTAAAGTAATTAGTTTGAATAGCCCTTTACTCCCTTATAGCTAAAATGAGATTAAATCTTTCATTCTTATCTTGTAGTCTCAAAAGCAGATACAAAGGAAAGAAATGTGATATTTAATAAATTGACTTTTTGAACATTTCTTTCTTCTTGCTTTCTGATTGTGAGCAGATCTTTCTCTCTCGTTGTCCCTGGGTGGGTCCCTTGCAGTTGCTTGGACTCTGGACCTACCCAAACCTGGCAAATAGGGAATTAGAAGCAATCTCCTGATGGGTTTCAGTGTCAAAGGTTAGCGGACATCCGGCATTCAGATAACAGCAAGGCTCCTAGTTTATGCTATACCCAAAAGTGCTTACTTGGGATAGAAACGCAAAAATTTTCAGTCTTCTTGATTCAACCCCCCCCCCCAAAAAACACCCCCCCCCAAAAAAAATCCAGATATCAGATGATAATACAGTTCCCATTCCTTAATTCTGGCAGGAGTTTGATCAATATGGTACTAGTGAAAGGTTCATATATTTGATTTTTTTTAATATGGTGTACTGTTGGGGTTTTGTTATTAAAGAAGACAAAATTATCCGATCTGCTACCGGGCTCAATTCAAAGTGCTGGCGTTGGCCTTTAAAGCCCTAAACGGTTCTGGCCCAACTTACCTATCCGAACGTATCTCGGCCTATCAGCCCACCAGGACCCTAAGATCTTCTGGGGAGGCCCTGCTCTCTATCCCGCCTGCTTCACAGGTGCGGCTGGCGGGGACGCGAGACAGGGCCTTTTCTGTGGTGGCCCCACGGCTATGGAACGCCCTTCCCATGGAGGTAAGATCAGCCCCCTCATTGATGGTATTCCGAAGAAGATTAAAAACCTGGATGTTCAAACAGGCATTTGGTTAACTCAGTGCAATGAATGTAATGATTTAAGGACTGGCAATATGGACGACGAAACTGGATCACGATTTTTAGTCAGGAGATGAATTGGATTGTTATTGATATATGAATTGTGTATTATGTTTTTATGGTTTTAAACTGTATACTGTTGATTGTTATATTTTGTTGTAAACCGCGTTGAGTCGCCGGCTAGGCTGAGAAACAGCGGTATACAAGTATAGCAAATAAATAATAAATAAATAAATAAAATTATGTATGGCTTAACATTTTTGGACTGTTTTCTTTGCCCATGCATCATTTCTCTCGTCTTCTCTCCACGTAGGTGTTTCGAAAAGATCTTATTAGTGCCATGAAGCTGCCAGATTCTCACCATGTTAACCCAGATGAATATTACCTTTTTGCGGATTCATGGAAACAAGAATGGGAAAAAGGTGTACAAGTCCCAGCTAGTCCTGACACCATTCCACAACCTTCTCTCAGGTAACAATAATTAAATAATTGACTGGATGGAATACATTTTATATTCATGCGTTTTTTTCCCCAAGGCCAATGTAAACATACAGCTTCCCTGTTCTATGATACGAACAGTATCATACCTCACAACCTCTGAAGATGCCTCCCATAGATGCAGATGAAACGTGAGGAGAGAATGCTTCTGGAACATGGCCATACAGCCTGAAAAACTCACAGCAACCCACTGTAGTATTAAATCTTATTCAGACTTTTTTCAAGCACATAGCTTGCATACCTTTAATTCATGATATGCAGGAGGTGAAAAAATTAAAAAAGGATGAACCAGAAGTTTATTTATTTATTTTAGTATAGCGTATTTCTACCTCGCTCTAGCTCATCCCAGAGGGGACTAAAAATGGCTTCCAGTTTTGGCAAATATTCAAATATAAAAACATACAATGCACATCATAATAAACTTTAAAATCAAGAAAAATATATAAATACTATTAAACCATATTAAAACATTTCATCTAATCCCGCTATTGCTTTTGTGGATAAATATTGCACTGTGGCTATGCCACTATTCCCCAAATACCTGGTTCCACAGCCAGGTTTTGACTTTCCTCCTAAATACCAGGAAGGGAGGAGGCTGATCTAATATCACTGGGGAGGGAGTTCCAAAGTCGAGGGGCCACTACTAAGAAGCCCCTGTCTCTCGTCCTCACCAGTCCCACCTGCGAAGGGGGTGGGACTAGGAGTAGGGCAGATCTTTACGCCTGAACTGGTTCATAGGGGGAGATACCTTCGGATAGGTAAGCTGCATCAGATCCATTTAGGATTTTAAAGGCTAAGCCAGCACTTTGAATTGTGCTCGGTAGCAGACTGGAAGCCAGTAGTGCCGATGTAACAGGGGTGCTCCCTGTATGCTGCACTCGTGAGCAATCTGTGTGATGCCCATTGGATTACTTGAAGCTTTCGAACAGTGTTCAAAGGCAACCCCATGTAGAGCATGTTGCAGTAGATGTAACAGGAGCGTGGACTACCATGGCCAAATCTGGCTTCTCAAGGTATGGGTGCAACTGGCGCACAAGTTTTAATTGTTCAAAAGCTCCCCTGGCCACTGCCAAGACCTGGGGTTCTATGCTGAGCAGAATCCATGAGAACTCCCAAGCTGCGAACCTGAGTTTTCAGGGGAGGTGTAACCTGTCTGACAGGCTGTAATCCTATACCCTATTTGGCCTCGAGTATTAATCCTGAGACAATGCCAAAATGTTATTTTTACCTGGGCAAAGCCCAGTTGTGGTCTCTAATATTTATAGTCGGTTCCTTAAAGATCTGGTGAGTATGAGACTATGTACAATTTGGTGTTCCTGGTAGCTAAAAAATAGGAATTGTTTTGATTTGAAATATGGAATTATTTTGAGTGGATAGTAGATTTGGAGCAGTGTAACTATTTATTTTATTTTATTTTATTTATTTAAAAGTTTTGTATACCGGCCTTCTCACTTCTCTTGAGGGACTCAGACCAGTTTCCAACCGTAATATCACATACAATCAATAAAACATAATACATATTACAGTAAAACATTAAAACGGCAATTACAATCAATAACTATAATGGTCAGTCGTCACACTAAAATCTCTGCTCATCATCCTCCATCCATATCTCAGGGTGTTGGCTCAGTCGTCGAATGCCTGTCTCCATAACCAAGTCTTCACCTGTTTCCTAAATGTCAGGATAGAAGGGGCGGTTCTGATCTCCAGTGGGAGAGAGTTCCAGAGTCAAGGGGCCACCACCGAGAAGGCCCTGTCCCTTGTCCCCACCAGACGCGCTTGCGAGGCTGGTAGGACCGAGAGCAGGGCCTCTCCAGACGATCTAATCTTGATGGTTCATAGGGGAGAATACGTTCGGAGAGGTAAACAGGGCCGGAGTCATTTAGGGCTTTATAGGTTAACACCAGCACTTTGAATTGTGCTCGGAAGCTAATTGGCAGCCAGTGGAGCTGGTGTAATAGCGGAGTGGTGTGCTCCCTGTACCCAACACCCGTTAGTAGTCTGGCTGTCGAGCGTTGGACTAGCTGCAGCTTCCGGGCAGTCTTCAGAGGCAACCCCACGTAGAGAGCGTTGCAGTAGTCTAAACGGGATGTAACCAAAGCGTGGACCACCGTGGCCAAGTCAGACTTCCCAAGGTACGGGCGCAGCTGGCGCACAAGTTTTAATTGTGCAAAAGCTCCCCTGACCACCGCCGAAACCTGCAGCTCCAGGCTCAGCGATGAATCTAGGAGAACTCCCAAACTGCGAACCTGCGCCTTCAGGGGGAGTGTAACCCCGTCCAGCACAGGCTGTAACCCTATACCCTGTTTGGCCTTTCGACTGACCAGGAGTACCTCTGTCTTGTCTGGATTTAGTTTCAATCTGTTGTCCCTCATCCAGTCAATCACAACGGCCAAGCATCGGTTCAGGACTTGGACAGCCTCCTTAGTAGCAGGTGGAAAGGAGTGACAGAGTTGGACCCTCAGTAAAGACTGCTTTTTCCTCGTTTTTAACACGCCACCGTATTTGCATATAGGGAAATTATTTGCTGCAAGTCAGATTGGCTGTAGACTGTTTATTCTGGTTTCCCCAAGTTGTTTAGCCCTAGGGGTCAGATTCAGTATAAACTGGGACAAGGAGTCACATGTGCATAAACATCTGTCACATGAGAAGCTTTCACTTTTCCTCCTTGTGCTCATGAGATCTCTTTTCTGTTACATTTTCTGCTAAGGTAAATATGGGTTGTGGGAAAACAGCAACCTCAAGCTAGGGAAGGTGTATCGTCCTATCTCCAAAATAAATGAAAACCAGGTCTGGTGGGAGAAATGTTTGAGCATCTCTCCACCTTTGAGAGCTACAAAGGCTGAAGCCAGCAGTCAACCCTGACAACCCTGAGTTTTGTCACTTTTGCTTGATCTTGAACTCCACAGGCATAAATCTCTTTGGGATTAATTCAGGGCATGGAACATATGGTTTTCTGACCTTCTGAAATGTTCTTTGACAACATAATTTGCAACTGACTTTAATTCTCTTTTTTTATTAATAGAGTTGTAGCGGAAAAAGTAAAGCAAGTACTGTATACGCGGCCTAGAAAGTATATCCGCTGTTCCAACCAAGAATCTTCCGAGCCTGGCTATATCAACATTCTGGAACTGGCAGAATCCATGTGTCGTTATGACTTGGACGACATGGATATCTTCTGGCTTCAGGAAGTAAACGAGGAGCTTGCTGAAATGGGTGAGAATGCTAAAAATGACAATTAAAATGGGCTACATTAAACCTTGGGTTGATTATGCCATTGGAACATGCGCTCCTTTTAAGAGGAGGCTGTTTTTTAAAAGATCTCAAAGTTTTCTGCTGTAGTCATTTAGAGAGATCTGAATTTAATATTTAAAAAACCTTTGCCAGCTCAAATATGTTCCCAAAAGACACATGTAGGTATTTGGAACAGTCTCTAATGCATCTGGAAATTCATTTTGTTTTCCTGGTAAAATGCACCTTTTAAATTAGGATTCTGGGAATAATAAGGGCCACCTATATAGCAGAAAATCAATCACTTAATAAAATTGGGAGTTTCTTCTGGGGCTTAATTGGATTTCCTAATTTTCTTTTCTCAATAGCCGGTATTTAGCAGAGATTAACACATTATTGTTCCATAAAGACAGACATTTTTGTTATTGTGACTCTTTAAATCAGGAATGGGCAAACTCAGGCCTGTGGCCCTTTGGGCTCTTTGCCTTGGTTTCCGTCTGCTTCGGCCTCCCTTTCAGTATGTGGACACAGTGGCCCGCCCTGTCCCCAGGCTGAGAGGAGGGCTGAGGCAGAGACATGCCTCTGCCAAGTGCTCTCTGGAGAGCACTCAGTAGTGGCTTGTTTGTCTCCCTCCTCTGGGCCTGGGGGAAGGTGAGCTGCTGCCTTCCTAGGGCCCAGAGAAAAGCCAGGGAGAGAAACACGCTGTTGCCAAGCATGTTTAAGTAGCATGTTTCTCTACCTACTCTGAGCCTGAGGAAGGCGTGCCGCTGCCTTTCCAGGACCCAGAGAGGAGCCGGGGAGAGAAGCACGCCATTGCCAAGCGTGCTTGACAGCGGCGTGTTTCCCTCCCTTCCCTAGGCCGGAGGAAGCTAGGCCACTGCCTTCCTGGGGTCCAGAGAAGAGCCAAGGAAAGACACAAGCAGTTCCCAAGCATGCTTAATAGTGGTGTGTTTCCCTCCCTTCTCTGGATCTGAGGAAGCTAGGCATTGCCTTCCTGGAGCCCAGAAGAGCTGGGGTGACAAACATGCTGCTGTCAAGTGGCAGCGTCGTGTTTGTCTCCCTGGAGACAGACCTGCACCTTCCCTATGCTGGCCCCAGCCTCACACTTTCTCCCAGCCCTGCCCCTTCCAGCCCCAGTCCTGCCCCTTCCGGACCCAACCCCCCCCCTTTCCCGACCCACGACCCTGCCTCTTCTGGCCCCACCCACACTCCCGCCCAGCCCAGCCCTTGCAACCTGGCCTACATGATGACCCCAGGGCAAAAAAGTTAGCCCATGCCGGCTTTAAATAACCCTGAAAGGCACTTTCTTGATTCCTTAAGACCTTGTTTCTAATGCTCACTCAACTTAGGCTTTAAAGCTACAGGAAAACATAATTAGCCGATTCTTCTCAATGTCTGGATGTACAGACAACATATTACAGGTTTATGTGGGCATTGAATGAGAGAGTTGAGCAAAGTAGAGCATTATGTTCCTCAAATCTTTGCTCAGTATGTCATTACTTACAGGTTAAGAGGTAATCTCCTTAAAGCGGTCTTCGTGGGCATAGACAGCAATCAGATTTGTTTTTACCAACAGTCAGCTTTGCAGACCTTATGTGGCAGGATTTTAAACCTACATATTTGAGTGCTTACTGTAGTAGGCCTAGACCTACCTATTTTGGGCATTTATATCACAATTCAGTTCACAATTGTCTAAATACTATTAGTGGTTTTCCTTTTCATGCACCTGCATTTGTTCTTCAAAATAATTTGTTTTTTTAGAAGAGGTTGAAGCCCTGTCAGAAATTTAGAAATCTGTTGAAATATATTTCTGGATATAAAATCTCTAAAATCAGAAATTGATGTTCATTTTAACTTAAGGAAAATGAAAGATGGGGAGGACAAAACCTAATTTTAATGGTATGGTTTATTTGAAAATGTAATTAGGCTGCTCCTTTTATTTTTCGAAGTCTTCCCTTTTCTTGTACTACTTCTTTCTGCTTTAATCTTTCTTCAGGATGTGGGCAGCTTGACGAAAACACAATGGAGAAGATGGTGGAAGTCCTGGAACGCCAGTGTCATGAGAATATGAACCATGCCATCGAGACAGAGGAAGGGTTGGGCATAGAGTATGATGAAGATGTCATCTGCGATGTGTGTCGATCACCTGATAGCGAAGATGGGAATGATATGGTGTTTTGCGACAAATGCAACATCTGTGTGCATCAGGTTAGTGCTGGCAAAGTTAACGGGGTTAATTGGAATTTTCTTAATTGACAGCCATCTGAATGTAGCTCAGAAGCAAGAAGTCTGGCAACTTGTGAGGAAAGGGATGGAGAATATGTATCCTCCACAGAGTTTAAAATTTGAAATGCTCTGTAAAGATTAACGTACTGTCATTCTTTGCTGATTTGTGAATCGTATTCCATTGCTAGATGTGGGAACATCCTTAAAGAAATTTTTTAAAAAGAGTATGAAGCCCTGTCAAAAAATTAGAAATCTGATGGAATAAATTTTGTATTTCTGTTGCTATATAGTATTTGCTGTATAGTTTCAGCATATCTTCAGGGCAACATGACTAATTCAGAACTCCAAACTGGCAAAATGTCCTTGTTGAAACTAACTTCAGGATAAAATCTATGCAGAATCTGTGATCACAGTTCCTTAAAAAACATGTTACTGCGAATTGTTGTTTGTAGGATAATAGCTATCTTTTAAATGTATGAAGGTATAAACCTGTCATGGAAATAGAACAGGTGCTGTTAACTCATAGACATTGCTTGTGATCACAGAAAAATATATCCCAACCAAATGTTTCTTCCCCTAAACCTCATTAAGTCCCGAAAAAGCATATCAATCCTAATTGGGAACTACTAGAAGAATATTTTTGAAATGTTGTTTATATCACAGTTTCACCTTCTAACCTCTCAAAGTTTATATATATGGCAGACTAATAAATGGAGTATTTATAAGATTCCTGACTTAAGTTAAGTGCCCTTTAATACAAAAGGGGAGGAAAGAAAAATGAGTTTCTAACTTTAATAAATAGATTTTAGTCATCCTGTATACACTCGAATATAAACCGACCCAAATATAAGCTAAGGTACCTAATTTTACCACAGAAAACTGGGAAAATATATTGACTCTAATATAAGCCAAGGGTGAGAAATGCAGCCGCTACTGGTAGATTTCAAAATAAACATAATACCAATAAAATTACATTAATTGAAGCATCAGTAGGTTAAATGTTTTTGAATATTTATATAAAACTGTAACAAGATAAGACTGTCCAAGTATGATTAAACCATTATTCTAACCTTTTTCAATGTAAATGTGCTTACGTATCCTTCTGATAATAATAGAGTAAAATAATAAATGTATTAAAAATAATAATAGAGTAAAATAATGGAAATGTAATAATAACAGTAATAATAGAGTAAAATAATAAATGTAATACAAATAACAATAATAGTAAAATAATGGAAATGTAATAATAACAATAGAGTAAAATAATAAATGTGATAATAATAAATAGAGTAAAATAATACATGTAATACTAATAAATAGAGTAAAATAATAAATGTAAGAACAACAACAGAATAAAATAATAAATAACTTTGACTCGAGTATAAGCCGAGGGGGGCTTTTTGAGCCTAAAAAAAGGACTCGCTTATACTCGAGTATATACAGAATAGACAGTGCAGCAGTGAAAGTGGGTGAAAATGAGTTCACTGAGCCATATTTCAGAAAGCTTATTTTTTTGTGCTAATGCAAGAGCACACTCTACTGGACTGAACTAGAATATTTCAAATAATAATGACTGACTTTTCCTGATAGTGTATGTATTTATAAGTTTCAAATAAGAGCACCTTCTTAGACCACTCTGTTTTGGTTCTATGTGCCACAAGGAAAGCTCTTGTTCTAGATTTAAAATATATGAAAAGATGCCTAGCTTTATTGTACTGTTTTAGACAGAAGCCGAGAAACCAAACTTGTGCTGCAGTTCCCTTTCTTCTTAGGAAGGGCAGTGATGTGGGTTTTGGGGAAAAGCAGGATTGAGAAATGGTTTGGTTTAGCATGTTTGGTTTAAATATTCAGACACATTCAAAGCTTGATGTAGAAATAATTTGAAATAGTGTAAACAGAATAGTATATGCTTGCTTTACATTTACCAAAATATGACTACACCTGAAAGAATGTTTTTTTAATGTCACATCCTTAAAGAGAGGGATGTGACATTAAAAAACATTATTTCAGGTGTAGATATGAAAAATGGATCAGGAACAGCTCTCTTTAGGGATGTGACATCCCTAAAGAGAGCTGTCGCTCACTTTTTGCATTGCCTATCAGTTCCATTTTAAGATATGAAAAACAGATTCAGTTCAACATTTTTTTTTACACTAAAGGATGGATTTGAATGTATGGCCACAGTCAACTTCACACTTCTTTGCTATTTGTGTTTGTGACAAACTGAGAGGCAAGACATTTTGTGAACAAGAAACAAGCTTAGCAGTACGCTCATTTTTAGTTTATTCCTCTCAGTGCTAAATGTTAATAATGCACTGTTTGTGCATTATTAATAAATAAAGTATTAATATGTTTGCTTGTTAATAAATAGATAATTTTATATCCTTTGTATTTCAGACAGGTAGAAAAGAGAAGATTTATTCAAAATTTAAATGAGTTTATACATTTCTAGAAATGTGTATCACAGTTGAGACTGATAACAGAGCGAGGCAATGAGGTGTTTTACTTACAGACTTCTACAAAACAGCCACTTCCTTTTGTCCCCAGGCATGCTATGGTATCCTAAAGGTTCCTGAAGGGAGCTGGTTGTGCCGAACTTGCGTTCTAGGTATACATCCTCAGTGTCTTTTATGTCCAAAGAGAGGGGGAGCCATGAAAGCCACGAGAACAGGAACCAAGTGGGCGCACGTGAGCTGTGCTCTCTGGATCCCAGAGGTTTGAGTAACTTTTAATTCCATGCAATGTCTTACAAAGATGCTTTACTATAATCTGTCCTTAATGATTTCATGGCTCTTGCTGACTTGGATTTGAGAAAACTTGATGCTACTGAGGAACTGGGTTATTCCACTGATGGTTACCTCTCCAACTCTTCCCCCCTCCCCCCCAAAAATATTAAAATCTGAAGAACAGAGCAAAATTAGCCATTCCTTATTTATATACAAAGCAATAAAAGAAGGGCTTTGAACATTTACTGTTGCGTGCTATTCTTTTAAGACATAATAAACATGACATCTAAAAATCAAACTTCACAATTTGATGTGAGGAGCAACTGCCTCTATTTCCCAAGAAGTCGAGGTTCATAGAATCATAGTTAGAAGAGACCACATGGGCTATCTAGCCCAACCCCCTTCCATGCAGGAAAAGCACAATCAAAGCACCTCAGATGGATGGCCATCCAGCATCTATTTAAAAGCTTCCAAGGAAGGTACTTCCACCACACTCCAAGACAGAGAGTTCCTGAACAGCTCTTACAGGCGCCTTCCACACAGCTGTATAACATTCACATTGAACTGGATTATATGGCAGTGTGGACTATCTGCCTTGATATTCTGGGTTATGTGGCTGCGTGGAAGGGCCCACAGTCAGGAAGTTCTTTCTAATATTTGAATGGAATCTCCTTTTCTGTAATTTGAACCCATTGCTCCAAGTCCTAGTTTCCAGGCCAGCAGAAAACAGGTATGCTCCCTCATCCTTATGACATCTTTCCACATATTTATGCATGGATATCATGTCTCCTCTCAACCTTCTCTTCTGCAGGTTAAACATACCCAGCTCTTTAAGACACTCCTCATAGGACATGGTCTACAGACCTTTGATCATTTTAGTCACCCTCCTCCTCTTGTCAATATCTTTTATAAACTCTGGTGTCCAGAATTGGACATAGCATTCTAGGTGAGGTCTAAACAAAGCCAAATAGAGAGGCACCATGGCTTCCCTCGATCTAGTCATGATACTCCTTTTGACGCAGTCCAAAATCCTATTGGCTTTTTTAGCTGCTGCATCACACTGTTAGGCCATATTCAATTTGTTGTCCACAAAAACTCCTGGTGTTGCCCATCCTGTATCTTTTCATTTCATTTTGTTCTGCCTAAATCTAGTAACTTACATCTGTCCTTGTTGAAATTCAGTTTGTTAGTTAGTTTCAGCACAACTCTCTAATCTGTTAAGGTCATTTTGAATTCTGATCCTGTCCTCTAGAGTATTAGCTCTCCCTCCCAATGTGGTGTCATCTGCAAACTTGATAAACATGAATTAATACGTTGAACAGGACTGGGCCCAGGACTACACCGTGAGGCACTTCATTAGTCACTTCTTTCCAGGATTTTTCCACCCTGCCTATGGTACATATTATCTGTCAAGGTTTTAAACTTCTCAAAGTTTGTAGTTCTTTTGAAAATAAGCTTCTCGGTTTCTGTTTGTTCTTTCATCTTGTTTCTTCATCTGTTTACAACCTTAATGGAAAAATGACTATTGTCCTAATCTGCCACATAAAAAGCTCAATAACATTACATAATCACTACTGTGCTGGTTGTGCACTTATAGGCATTCTGGTGTGAATCTCAGCTGTGGTCTCCATCCCAACCAAGGTGACATCCATTTTCTCCACATTCCAGAGGAAGTATGCCCATAGAGCTTTCTGCTCTGATGATGTTCAATAGGATCTCAGCCAAAACCTCAGAAACAAAAATAACTTCCTACTGGGAGTACCCACAGTGTGTTTATTCATGCAGTAAAAGCAAGTGCATTTCTTGATACAGAACAAAGAACTGTAAATTAAAATAATTCCTGATCCTCTGTATGCCAGCTTTCATTGTTTTATTGGTGCATAAGTGAAAGCAGACTACAGAGTATGAATCCAGGATCAATAGAAACACAAAATGTGGTGTGGGAGAAATATAGTCTATTTATTCTTAATTATTTTTAGCTTCCTACTAAAACAAAGCCCTGTCTTGAGTTGAGAATGCTTGATTCATTACTGCGTCTGTCCATTGGATGGAGAAAGCTCTAGCTCAGAGCTTTCCAAACTGTGTCGTGACACTTTTGGCTGCAGTGTGTATGAGCCTACGTGAAATAAGCAATTTGCATGTATTTAATCTTAGAAATCACATAGGTTTTAAAAATATAAATAACAAGTTTTCATGAGATGCATTTAGTTAATACAATTAAGGTATGTTTCCGAATTTCTTAAAGGAGTTGGTTTGACCTCTGGTTTGCTAATAAAACTGAATTACTGTGTTGTAAAATGATGTCTGTTTAAAAGTGCATCACCAACATGGAGTGTTTGGAAAGTTCTGCTCTAGCTGCTCAAATGATTGAAAATATTCGGTTCTTTAAGTTTGCTCCATCTTTCCCGGGCCTCTAGCAAAAAGATACTAGATCTCATTTATCCTGATCGCTCAAGGATAGATTTCCATAGCATACAAGGACAAGCACTGGCCTAAATCTTTCTACATTCTTTTTCTTTCCACCAGGCAGGAGCTGCACCTTGTAGCTTTCTCCAGTGATGTACCCATTACAGAAATACTTGAGGCTGCGGCACATACAGTACCTAGCATCTTTGCTAACCTATGCTCGGGTTGGACATATTTGTCAGTGGGAGAAGGCAGCTAGAGCACATTCTTTCTCATTCATAGTTCTGACCGCTGACACTCTTTTTAGACATAGGTAATCTGTGAATTTATTCATTGCCTCTTTACAAACACTGTACCACTGTTGTGGTGGTTCTTCTTGGTCTAATACCATACAAATATCCAAACCACAACCTAATTCATTAGTGTCATAATCTTGTGGGCTTCTAAGCATGTTTCTGTTTCAAACATAGTCATTGGAAGCAACTGAGTGACAGCATTGCTATCTTTCTGAGCCAGTGGTTCCTCAACCTGTGGGTCCCCAGATGTTTTGGCCTTCAACTCCCAGAAATACTAATAGCTGGTAAACTGGCTGGGATTTCTGGGAGTTTTAGGCCAAAACACCTGGGGACCCACAGGTTGAGAACCACTGTTCTAAGCAATAGAGGGAGGGTAATCCATTGTTGATGCCTCTGTCATGCCAAAACAGACCTCCATGGCAATATCTAATGTTCTGTTCCTTCCCCAGGGCTAGGAACAAATGACTATAAATGTATATGTTTTAAATTGTGTTATGTTCTTTTTATTATCAGACAGGTTATGCTTGTCTAAAATAAATGAATCGGATTCCTAATTTTAGCACATCTTACTGAAAAATGAATGTTTAGTGCAGATTTAATTCTGTCCATTTGCCTCTCCTACAAGATGCTAAGTCAATTATACATTTATACTATGTTTGCTTGTAGGTAAGCATTGCTTGTCCAGAAAGGATGGAGCCCATTACAAAAGTGTCCCACATTCCACCAAGTAGATGGGCTTTAGTTTGCAGTTTGTGCAAACTGAAAACTGGTGCTTGTATTCAGGTATGTCCCGATCTTATGCAATGATATTTCATTACATAGAGTAGAAGTTGCATAATAGCACATGGTGTATTGTGATTGGTAAAGTTGTACTTTGAGTTGTTTAGCCAGATGGTTGTATATTTGGTGCTGAAAGTCAGCTCAAAATATGAACACTAGCTTGTGTGGTTTGTATTTACATATTTTGAATTCCCCACACAGAGGTTGGCTGCAGGAAGAATGCAGATAATTAATGTGTATTATCTGATATATATTTGCTGCACCACACAGAGAAGTATATGGCAAAATGCTTCTAGGAATAACTACTTTCTCTCAATCCTTTCATAGAACTAACTAGATTCTCCTCCCTTGGATTTCCTAGCTAAATGCGGTGCTGACAGCAAACAGCAATAGCACCATCTTCCTCATCAGAGCAGGGTCCTCACTTCAAATCTCTCCAGCCAGGCATTTATAAGATGACCTTAGGTAAATTCTAATCCTTCATCTCCTTGACAGCAAGAGAGGAATAACAGTAGTGACCTACTTCTAACAATTCTTTTAAGGTTCCTGAAGAAATGCTCTAAAGCTCTACATGAAAGCTTGTATGGTAATTAAGCTCTGCATCTCTTACGAATCTGAGGGTTTATGATCAAAGTTTAGAAGCATTAGTGTTAAAGCTTATTTGCTGGTGAAGATCAATTTATTGACATTAGGCGTTTAATAGCATTTATTAAATGTATTTCTTATGCTAGTTGTTCATAATTATTGCTAAGACATGCAATAAGTTTTTAATCGGTTTTTAAAATCAGTTCAAATCACTGAATGTGTACAATCTCCCAAGTAACAAATGAAACATGAATAGGCACTCAGTCTGTTATAGGTATTGACATTTAATTATTTAAGTAATGAATTTGGAGTCTTTTTAAATGAATCCTGGATAATGAAATTACTTTTAATTATATCCAAGCTCTGTTCAATATGTCTGCTGCTGGTGAAATTGTTAAGTGCAATGATGAGCAAAGTGCAGTTTATCCACATGTTGTTAGAGGGCACTGCTGAGAGTTCCAGTCCAGCAACCTTGTTTTGCCTATCTTACAGCGGTTAAGCTTTAGTTTATTGTTTTTGGTGTGACTACTGCCAAATCACAGTGCTAGAGCTGATACTCTTACATAGCTCTCCCTTATCAGGAATTTATTTATGACATTTATATCCCGCCTTTCTCACCCCGAAGGGGACTCAGAGCAGCTTACAAGTTATGTGTACATACAATATATTATATTATTAGCATAGCACCATATTAGTATTATATATTACTATATTGTACTATACCATTAGAGTGCAATATTATTAGTAATATTACATGTAATTTAAATATATATAATTATCATATTTTATATTGTATTATTAATCGTATTATATTGTATTACGATATTATGATCCATATTATATGTACATACAATATATTATATTATTAGCATACCACAATATTAGTGTTGTATAATACTAGGTTGCATTATACCAGTATACTGCAATATTATTAGTAATATTACATGTAATATTTAATATACAAATATTATAGTTTATTATTATTATTCATATCATATTATATTGCATTGTAATATTATCAATTATTATCAATAGAAATTCCAAAATACCCCCAAAATTGAAAATTGTTCGCATAGGTAGGCACCAGGTGGCTGAGATAGTGATACCTTTGCTGTCTGGTGGTTCACTGTGCACAAAACTTTCTTTTTCCATGCTCAAAATTATTTTTAAATGGTGTACATAATTATTTGAGGCTATATGTATAAGGTGTATATGAAACATAAATGGATTTAATATTTAGATATGTGACCATCTCCAAGATATCTCATTATGTACATATATACAAATGCAGGTCTAATCTGGAAAAAAAAAACCCAAAGCACTTCTAGTCCCAAGTATTTTGAATAAGAGATACAGATGTTCAGAGGTTCAGATATTTCCAATAAATACAGGATGTCTTTTCATTGACTAGTTTGTGTTTTTAATTGGGAAGTTGTTGAATTGTATTTTCCTTTTCAAAGCATTTAAGCATAATATATGAAACTAATGTAAAACATTTTACCTAGCAATCATTTTCTTAATTTTTTAATAAATGTATCTCTTCAGAATCTTTAATGATCCAGAATTGACTTGCTTTCTGTCTGAATATTACCTTTCAAATCCTCAGCTTGTGAATGACAATCAAATAAGCATTTCCCAAAGTAACTCTGATATAATTACACCATGTAACAAAATAAAAAAAAATCTGTTCCTGGTTTGAAAGTGTTAGTCCTGTTAAATTGTGCGGCACTTACTTTGAAAGTACTTCAGAAATCTCGTTTTAGTGGCTGACACAACTATGTTGAATTGGTTGAGACTAGATGGGATATTCATTGGAAAACCAAAGCAAAATGTGCTGCAGAATGTCCCGCAACAACATTTTTTTTGCAGTTCAATACACTTTTTCCATGTTTTTATGATAAGAACCAATTAGGTTATAAATGTCAATTAGGAAATGACATTTATAACCTAGGAACAAAAATTGTGTTACATAGTGTTATGTGTCCATGAATGCACATAATAATCAAAGATCTGTGAGGCTTCTTAGTTTTCTTCAATTAATTTCTGACTGTTCATAATTTTCGTTTTTTGACAGTGCTCTGTGAAGAGCTGTATCACTGCCTTTCATGTCACATGTGCCTTTGAGCATAGCCTGGAGATGAAAACAATCCTGGATGACGGCGACGAAGTCAAGTTCAAGTCATACTGTCTCAAGCATAGTAAAACCAAGCAGAGCTTGGTGCCTGAGGCAGAGAACAACCTCAAGAACACAATAGAGCAGAAGCAGACAGAGAGCGAGAAGACCAGTTTGCGTGCTCAGAAACTCCGGGAACTGGAGGAAGAGTTCTATTCGCTTGTGAGAATAGACGACGTTGCGGCGGAGCTTGGCCTCCCTAAGCTCACTGTAGACTTGATCTATAATTATTGGAAGCTGAAGCGGAAAAGTAACTTCAATAAACCCTTATTTCCTCCCAAGGAGGATGAAGAAAATGGCTTGGTTCAGCCAAAAGAAGATAGCATTCATACCCGAATGAGGATGTTCATGCACCTAAGGCAGGATCTAGAGAGGGTAAGGATATTCTTAGAAAGGAAGTTGGCATGACAGAGAGCCGAAAAGGGAAGAAAAGTAATAAGACAAAGCATTAGTAGGATCAGTTAAGAAAGGGATAATATATTGCCATTACTGGAAAACTTTGAGATACTTTTCAGAGGTTTTGTGTCGGTTCCACTTGTACAACATCTAGAAAAGTAGATCTCACTTAAGATCCTGAGAATACGTAAGTGTTGAACTTTCATGGAAGAAGAAGCTGTCAGTCACCACCAGCTCCTTGCTTATGACACTAATAACTATCCCAAATCAGAGGATATTGAATTCACCAATATTATAATATTTCTTGCTTTGAGTTCCCTCCGAGAGAGAGGGTGGGTTAGAAATCTATTATTATTATTATTATTATTATTAGCCACTCTGAGTCCCTTTCGGGGTGAGTAGGGCAGGATATAAATTTCGTAAATAAATAAATAAATAAATTTTTACTGTTCTGGGTGGAATACAGCAGTTGTCCCTTAAACATAACCTATTGATAGGAAGGAAGGAGTATAAGGTCTATCAAGTTTGTTCCTGTTGTTTTACCCCAATTATGAAGTTAAGCAAGTAAGGAAGTAAAATAAGTAAGTAATGAAGTTAAGACTTTAGCAGCTTGCCACCATTAAACTATGGGAGAGACTGGCCTAACCTTGGAAGCCAGTAGCCTCATGACATTTTCACTGTGCATTTTTGAAATACTCAAGAGAATATTTTTCAGGTGGATGCTTGAAAAGGACAACAATTTAGGATGATGATACCTGTTGGATGTCTAAAAAGATTATGTAGATTTAAATGACTTCTAGAAGGCAAAAATCTATGTCAAATCAATTAAGACACAAAGATACCTTTTTATAATTGCGTGATCTTTGAGTTCATTATAGTATTATTATTTATTTATTTATTTACAGCATTTATATTCCGCAGGGGACTCAGGGTGGATTACAGTGTATACATATATGGCAAACATTCAATGCCAAAGACACACAACAGATATAGACAAACAGTTAGAGGCTATTTAACTTTTTCTGGCTGCCAGGGGAGCTGTCGCTTTTATCGTCTATCTGCAACGCTGATGAAGTACTTCCGCATTACCTGCATGCTTTTGCTGGAGTGCTTTCCTGGAGTCTTTTTTATGGTATCGTAAATTTTGTTAAATTAGCCTCCTCACACATAGGTGGTACCTAATTTTCCTACTTGACAGATGCAACTGTCTTTCGGGTTGCAAAGGTCAACAACAAGCTACAAAATTGGTTGGAAGCTCACTCTGACCCGTTCTGGCTTCGAACTCATGACCACTTGTGGTCAGAAGTGATCTTAATGCAGCTGACACTCAGACAGCTGCGCCACAGTCCCGGTGTAATACTCTGGATCTATACACTATTTTTCTTCTTATTTTTAAACTCATAGAAATAATAATTTTTACTGTTGGGAATAGGCAACCTTCTCAAACCTCCTCACTTTGATGATTTGGCTGTATATAATGTGCTGTTTCAGTGCTGAAGTGTGTATGTGTTCTTTGGTGTGCTGTTTTTCTTAGCTCTATGTTCTTGAGGTTGTGGCCAGATCAGGGACTATTTACAACACAGTTAAAAGTTGACAGTTGAAGATGACAGTTGGAAGTAGACAGTTAAAAAGGAGAGTTGTACAGAGCTGTATGGTTTAAGAGACTGATGAAGATTGAAAGTTAGACACAAACCGAAACGTCTTGAAGTTTAAACTAACAAGAAGTGTGCCCATATATTAAATGCATGATGTTGTGAGTAAACAAACATATGTTATTTTAAAGACATCTACTTGATTTTTTTTGTCTACTGAGAGATATTTATGGGAGAGTAGATGTTTTTTGAACACTAAATCAATCTCTTCAACACTATACGCTCTGTTCAACTCTCCTTTATAACTGTCTACTTCTGTCATCCATCAACTGTCATCTTTTGACCCTGTTCTTAATGGTCCTTGATCTGGTCACATGGTCTGCAGCCCCTCCCACAACCTCAAGAACACTTCTGAAGATCTGCTATATATGTATTGTGCATTGGCATGTTCCCTGTTCCTATTAGTTCAGAGTCACCTGGAAATCTACAGCTGAAAACCAATTGCCAAGCATAAATACTTGTAGACACCATTTCTTTTCTTAAAAGATATAAAGACTATGGTTTTCCCAATGGGTCATAATCCAATAGGTTATGATCCTAACAGGTCATAACCCTCCATTTGGTTATGTGACCGGTGATTATCTAATATTTCTGAAGTCCAGGATGAAAAATTAATATTTGTGTACCACTGGTTTGATTTTTTTGATTTAGGATTTGAATCTGATTATGGAAGTTTGATTCAGTGTTCCTAAATAATTAGAACTCTGCATCTTCTGAGGAACCTTGTGATTTTTGATTGTAAGTTCTCTCAAAGTTATAATTCTGAAAATCTGTTAAGCATTTGACTGTATGGGACTTTTCTTATTTTTCTCTGTAGGTAAGAAATCTTTGCTACATGGTAAGCAGAAGAGAGAAGTTAAAGCTTTCTCACAGTAAAGCTCACGAGCAAGTTTTCAATTTGCAAGTCCAGCTCATTAATCAGGAAATTGCTGCAGGTAATGAATGCATGAGATATAAGATAATTGTCTATTGTGATGTGATATTCCCTAGAGTCTTTTTAAAAAGCATTTTTCCTCTCATAATTGTGACTTCTATTTTTAAAAAACTGTTTTTCACTGTCACATATGTTTCTGAACACTTGATTAAATACGGCATCATGATCCACAGACAAACGGTTCTCTAAATTAGCATTGTTAATTATGTCGTCTGTTTGTGCTATCTGCACTTCATCTATTGTCTGTAGTGCTTTTGATACTTTCCCATCTATCTCACTTCTACATTTGGCAACTTCAAAAAGCCATATGTACCCTGATAATCTGAATAATGCTTTATGTACAATGGAATGGGCTGTAGTCTGCAATAAACAAATATGTGTATTAATTTTTAAGGTAAAGCAAGATATTTATTTATTTTTGTTGCTTTTTAAAACTTTGCAATGAATCTATTACTTCATTAATTAGAATAAGCCAGAACAAGAATGGTGGAGCCCCTGGTGACGCAGTGGGTTAAACCACTGAGTTGCTGAAGTTGACCGAAAGGGGTGAGCTCCCACTGTTAGCCCCAGCTTCTGACAACCTAGCAGTTCAAAAACATGCAAAATTTGAGTAGATCAATAGGTACCCACTTTGGCAGGAAGGCAATGGTGCTCCATGCAGTCATGCCAGCCACATGACCATGGAGGTGCCTTTGGACAACACCAGCTCTTTGGCTTAGAAATGGAGATGAGAACCACCCCCCAAAGTCAGACATGAGTAGACTTTATGTCAATGGAAAACCTTTACCCTTTAGAACAAGAATGAGAACAGAGAGCAAAATCTTGAGAGTTGTACCCCAATAGTGAGGAGGCTCCCCATGTTTTCTCTTTTTATTTCTACATTTCTTTCTCTCTCTGCTCCTCCATCTAGACCAGTGGTTCACAACCTGTGGGTCCCCAGATGTATTGGCCTTCAACTCCCACAAATCCTCACAGTTGGTAAACTGGCTGGGATTTCTGGGAGTTATAGGCCAAAACATAATAAGTCATATTCCAGGGCCAGTCCGGGTTGTCATTAATTTATAATCTCTTATTGCATTGCTCCCATTATAGACCAAAAGACTGATCCCAGAGCAGTGTTTTTAATTTTTTCTGAAGTCCAGGAGGGAGAGGGTCGATCTAATTTCACTGGGGAAGGAGTTCCATAGATGAGGGGCCATCACTCAGAAAGCCCTGTCTCTTGTCCCCACCTGCCGCGCTTACGAGAGGGATGGGACCGAGAGCAGGGCCTCCTCTGATAATCCTATCCTCTGTGGTGGATCATAGAGGGAGATACGTTTGAACAAGTAAGCTGGGCACTATTTGGTAATGAAGGTTGCTAAATAAAGATGGTCCATAATGTATACTTTGCATATCATAGATTTGCATAATGAATTTTCCTCTAAAGTATGTCTTTTTTCTCCTCCCGGCCCATGTCTCTTTTTCTTTCTTAGGCCATTCTCTGACAACTGCACTAGAGAACACACTGTTTTATCCGCCTCCTAGAATTACCTTGAAGCTAAAGATGCCAAAATCAGCACTGGGAGATTGCAAAAATAACTTGAAACCTGGGAACAAACTGCTTTCTTCTGACAGCAATGCCAACTTTCACAGCAAAAAGGGTGCCCCGCTCTCCAAGGACACTTTTGCTTCAAATGTGAAATCCTGCTCCAAGTTTCATCACGAAAATAGAAGTAATGGTGTATTGGGCGGGATTGGGAAGTCCAGGAATGGAACGAAGGACTCTGAGCCTGCAAATTCAGCAGGCCTCCATCATAGGCAGCTCTCTGGCAAACCCTTAGCACTTCAAGCCGCACTGCATGGACAATCTTCCATTGGGAACGGGAAAATCCAACAGAGCTCCAAACAAGCCAAATCGAATGGCGTAATGAGAAGAGTTGGAGACATCACTCAGCGAGACAGCTCTAGCCAAACAACCTACGAGCAGCAACAGCCTGTTCTGTCTGCCCACTTGGCCAGCCAGAGCAGCTTCAAGAAATCCAACATGGAACACTTTAGCAGGTCCTTCAAAGAAGCCACCAAGAGCTTGGTGAGGACCACAGAAGATCTCAGGTGTTGCGAAAAGCCCTTGAGGAGGTTCTCCATGAGGGAGCGTTCGTGGGGCAGGCCGACCCTGGAGTACCAGGTGGGGAGTGCCCCATACCAGGACAATGATGGGTATTGCCCCGATGTGGAGCTCAGCGACTCCGAAGCAGAGAGCGATGAGAACAAGGGACAGATGAGACTTCGGAAAAGCAGCTCAGAGAGAGCAAGCCCAAGTAGAGACTTAAATAGAGACTGTCACAGTAGAAATAAAAGAAATATGGTTTCACACAGATCTGTGCAAAGGTGATGATATGCCACAGGAATAACTTGGCCTTTGTGTGTCCAGGAGGAGAGACACGAGTCCTGGATATCTGCAGGTTTCAGCATAGGGCCCTTAAGCAAACGACCGAGCTGTTATTCCACCCAAACAGTTAATGAGTTTGGTTTTTGGTGAGGATTGGGATTTCCTAAGGTGCTATAAGTCTTTGTCCCTTCCAGAAATTGTTTTGTATCCCTGCTACCCTTTACAGAATGTAATACATCGGGATTGTCCTGGTGAACAAAAAGAAAGCCATTCTATCATTTTCTGACAATCTGCAAGAAAAGGATGAGACAGTTGCAGCTACAACAGAATCTCATCTCATTAAAATACTTAAGCAAACCCTTGTTTTGTGGGGAGATTGTGGGGAGTCACAAGAGTCTTCTCAAGGTTTTTTTTTCAATGGGAGGTATATTACTACTAGGCAGAAATCATGTTCTCAAGCAATTTTAGAAGGAAGCCTTTGATCCAAAATAACTTGGAAGTACAACCTATTTTAACTCGGTGGGACTTGCCTCAAAATAAACTTGGGGATAAGTAATATTTTCTCCTGAATTGCAGAGAAAGGTTTACAAACTTCACAGTCAATGATGCCAAACACAGAGACCTCTATATTACTCCCATCATTAAGGCTCTTTCTCTTCACTGTAGCAGTTTGATTTGTTCTGTAAATAAGTCTTTCATTCTGCAAATTCTAAGTTGTTTTTAAATCTTTGTGTACATAAAGGCTTGTTGTGGGTTGCACTTGTAAAATATTTTACCCACGCAGCCAGTGCATACAGTTGATATGTGCATAATGTTTCATACTAGATGTGCTTAACCTCTTTTAACATATTCAGGCAATCACCGGTGATGCTAGAGTCTCCCTTGTAAACTCAGAAGGCTTTTAAAAACCTTAGACCCCCAAAACCATCCATATTCCCCGCCACCCCCTTCAGCAAGCAAATATTTCATGAGATTTCTGAGCCAAAATTTGAAAAATCGTTATAAGAGTATTTGTATTGCTTTCCAAGCTTAAACAGTGAAAAATGCTAAAATGGAATATTTTTATTGCTAAAGAGTTTGGAAACTGTTTGGGCCACTTTATGGTTTAACTAGATTAAAAAACATTCTTTCTAATAGTCGTTTTAAGACACAAACACACACCAGCCTCATGGAAGTCACACGTTTGTTCATTGCGACACACGTCTTTTTTTTCTTAAAACAGTTTACCCCAAAAGAACAATTCACTGATAGAATCATCACGGTTTTCTTTGTAAATTAAGTGCATAATAGGAAGTAAAAGTTAATGAGGTAAATTTGAAATCTAATGGATAATGTATCACAAAGAACAAGAGTAAGATGTTTTCTTAAAAGCCTTAATTGTTGCATTTATCTGGAAAGAATAAATTCTTGATTAAGAAAATTTGGAAGGATATTTTGAAAAGGACAATTCTTCTCTTTAGGCACTCTCGAAGTTTACTTTGTTTACTCTTTTAATACTTTGTCTTTTTTGGAAGAGATTTATTTTTAAGACATTTTCTTCAGTGTAAATATACCGTAGTTTTAAAAAAAGTTTTTCTAAAAGTTGGTTGAAAAAAATGGTTTGCCTTTTAAGTTGTGAGCCATTCAGAATGGTGCTGATCATTATCTATCCAATACATTGGTTCTAGTTCTCTTTTTTAACGTATTTATTATTAACACTTTTTCTGGTCATGAAATTAGATGCAGTTGAATTTGGGAACAATTACATCATTGGTCAGAAAACACAATCATGTTTTTATATTCAGTGATATGATGAATTAAATGGTGAAAAAATGGTGCTTCAGCAAGATTTGCTGACTTAACAGTGACAACTAAAATAATTGAGGCAATGGTGTTTTTATTTTGTTAGTTTTACATGATTTTAATAGATACATGAAGGAACCTTTGGCTACATAGCTTCCAAGTATCTGTCTCCAAAGTATATTTGCTAGATTTTACAATGTGTTCAGTGGCTAACTTTGAAGTATTACCTCTTAACCCAATTTGTTATCTTGTTTTGCTTTATATTAATATAAATTTGAATATATGTGTGTGTGTGTATATATATATATATATATATATATATATATATATATATATTCAAAATTTCAAAAATGGACTGTCTTTTTCAGACGTCTGCCTTTTACAATACCTTTTTCATTAAATTATGAAACTGCTAACTGTACTTCTTCCTTGTGATCTTTTGAAGGGTATATTGGGGAAGGGTGCAAAACCAACTCTTGGTTTGTTACAGCTGAGTATTTTTCTTAATCTTTGCAAGATTCATAAAATTCCCATAGTAAGAATGTGTGGGACGATGCAGCCAAGGATATGGCAGTGGCTCATAGGCGTGTACAGAAATGTGGAAGTAGAGATTACATGGAAGAGTAAGATTCAGAGGCCTGAAAAAATTGAGAATCATGAAAGCTTTTATACATGTATGATACCTTTATTGAAATTTGGTGTTCCGGAAGGACTTCTTCCATCATGTACAGTTTTTTTCACAAGTGATGTGTGAAAAGTTAGCAGAAGCTTCAGCACTGGACTATGACTCGAGTTCAGTTCCCCACAAAGGGAAGTAACTAGGACTGGGCGGTTTCGTTCGTTAATTTCATGATTCGTTATTAATTCATTATTTTTTTTTATAACGAAGCGATATTGAACCATTCAGGAGTAACTAAAAATCGAAACGAATTTTTAAAATTTATTTTGTAATTGTTTCGAAATTGTTTCGTTATTATTTCGTTATTATTTCCGTATGTCTGGTGCAAGTTTTATAGTTGTTGTTTGTTTTATCCGTGATAAAAAAATAAATTATCTCAACAACAGAGGGAGAGGGAAGCTTCAGAAGTTCCCCCTGTCCCATTTGGAGGTTTTTTTTTTTAGCGTATTGCGCAATCGCGTGCGCCATTAACAAATCAATTCGAAATTTACGAAATTTCGTAAATAACGAACTTTTTTAAAAAAAAATTTCGGAATTCTTTTAAAAAACGAAACGCACCCCCCCCCCCCCCAAAAAAACGAATCGAGTTTAGAAACAAATTTTTCCATGGTTGCCCAGCCCTAGAAGTAACTCTTTCTCAGTCTTGAACCAACAGAAAACCTCTTATGAATAAATCATGCCAAGAAATAATACCCATAATAGGTTTGCCTTATGGTTTTCATAAGTCAGAAATGTTTTGAAGGTACATAACAACAAATACGCTTGGAATACACGCATTATGGACAGGCTCTAACCCATCCCAAATTTTTAACCCGTATAACCCCCTACTGACTGTTAGGAATTGTGAGAGTTAAAATCCAAAGCACCTAGAGGGTGAAGTTTGCCCATGCCTTCTCTAGAGCCATATAAACCCTCCTTTAGCAGTCTTTAGAAAGAGGTTGTGTGGTCATCTTTCATGAGTGTTTTAGTTGTATGTATTCCTGCATGACAGGGTCAAACTAGATGGCCCTGTAGTCCCTTCCAACACTTCAGATTATAGCAATCTACCATCCTATGATCTCGGTGTTAGAGGTAAAATCATGGAAGTTGAGTCAAACTGCAATAGGATTCTTTTGTGTGTGTGTGTGTGTGTGTCACAAGCAACTTTAGAAACTGCCAAGTCGCTTCTGGTGTGAGAGAATTGGCCATCTGCAAGGACGTTGTCCGGGGATGCCCGGATGTTTTACCATCCTGTGGGAGGCTTCTCTTGTGCCCCCACATGAGAAGCTGGAGCTGACAGACAGGAGCTCACCCTGCTCTGCAGATTCGAACCGCCAACTTTTGGTCAGCAGTCCTGCCAGCACAAGAGTTTTGGGAGTTGTAGTTGCTGGAATTTATAGTTCACCTACAATCAAAGAGCTTTCTGAACTCGCATCGACAATGGAATTGAACCAAACTTGGTACACAGAACTCCCATGAGTTCTGTGTACCAAGCAAATACTGGAAGGGTTTGGTGGACATTGGCCTTGGGTTTTGGAGTTGAAGTTCACCTACCAGAGAGCACTGTGGATTCAAACAATGATGGATCTGGACCAAACTTGGCACAAGCACTCAGTACGCCCAAATATGAACAAATGGAGTTTGGGGGAAATAGACCTTGACATTTGGGAGTTGTAGTTACTGGGATTCAACGTTCACTTACAATCAAAGAGCATCAATACAATCAATACAATACAATACAATACAAAGAGCATATAATGCAATACAATCAATAGAACAACAGAATCGGGGCAAACTTCCCACACAGAACCCCCATGAGCAACAGAAAATACTTAAGCCATCCAATCCAACTCCCTTCACGAGGGCAAGAAAACATAATCAAATTCCCCTTGCAAAGAGCCATCCAGCCATAGCGATAGATAGATAGATAGGATTCACACACACACATATAGTATCATAGATTTGTAAGGGACCCTTAAAGAAGGACAATGATATGTTGCATGTTCCAGGGTGGGCAAACCAGACACTCTCCACATCAACACTGACAAAGAAACAGCAAGAAATACTGTTTACTTACAAGCAGAAAGAAATTACATATATTAGAAACCAACACTTTCTCATTACTTTATTTTTCAGATCAACAGACTGGGCCACAGCAACGCGTGGCAGGGGACAGCTAGTCAGTCAATAGGAAGCAGCATTTTAAAACTCCCAATTCTCTATTGCCTTTCTCAAGAATAGACACTTTTTATTTCTTAGCTAGTATGTAATATTAGCTGTGAAGGATTATTCATAGTTACATAGTATATAAACATTACTTGGTACTTGAAGCTTCTTATATTCCTTGTTCAGACATAAAGATAAATGATTAGCCTTTGCCGAACTCTTTCGCCTTGATCTCTCACCCAGGATCCTTGTAATGGGGGTGGGAGTTGTGTAGTACTACAATAAATTAACCAGGGTGTTCAAAGGGTAGTGAGATGCTGAGACATAGCATTGTGGTGCAATAGGTTAGTGGCAGGTGAAAAAAATCAGTGCGAGATTACACTTAAATTTCTAAACTTGTCTAAAGAGAGGAGGCATGGGATAATACACATTGCAACAGGACCAACTCTACTACTAGGCTGAGTGAGGCAGCTGCCTCAGTCTGCAAAATTGGAAGGAGTATTATGAAAGGAGGGCAGATAGCTAGTTATTCAGTTCATTAATGTAAGGGAAGTGAAGAAGCTCCTGGAAACCTTTTTGTCCCATGCCAAAGTAATTTGCAACCCTGAGTTTTGTTACATAGTGTAATTGTATCAGAATTACTTTGGGAAATTATTCTTTGACTTCAGGATTATCGTGCACAAGCTGAGGGTCTGAATAGTAACATATATAAACCCCACTTGCGTAGTTTCCAGCAGACCTCACAACCTCTGAGGATACCTGCCATAGATGTGGGTGAAATGTCAGGAGAGAATGATTCTGAAACATATGGCCATACAGCCCGGAAAACTCACAGCAACC